TAACATCACAAGTCACAACAAAATAATATTTCTTGAATCAACAATATCTCCTAAATTTCACATACAAAAATATATAATTAAAAAAAATAAACGATTCATATATATAATAATAAGAAGCAAATGAATAAACGTGATGTGAACAAAGAGTAGAAAGAAGTAAACGGGTGGGAACATAAATTCGTTATCTCTTTAGGTCACAGAACCATTTTCCACCCGCTCCATTGAGTGTTTGGTCCCGAAAAAGAAAGTAACACCCTTAATAATGCATTAAAGATGTGGAGCCTACTTATGAATTAGCTAACTCGATCTATTTATGTCCAAGTCAGATAAATCGATAAAGATCCAAGTCAGATAAATCGATAAAGAAAATATGGAATAACGTGTGTTATATATATGGGTTGCATTTCCTGCCTTTATCTTTTAGAGGAGTAATGAGGGTAGAAAACATTATTTGTCATAAAGGTATCACATAGGACCACGGTCCTCTTCTCTCATATAAATAAATTTCAACGTTATCAATATTGATGTGTCAAAATCCAACTAATAATTACACCCTAGAATATTGTTTGATTTTTTTTACTAAGGCAATATATATGTGTGGGTGTGGTGGCGATTTGAATATACAATCTTTTGGTTGGGAATGTATGCTTTAACTAATTGAACCTTATTTGATAGATTAAGTCTGAGAAAAAATGAAACATGGAAGAATAATCAAAACCAACTATATACAGTTTTTTTTTTCTTTGTTCTATTTGGTAAGAGCCTCTAAAGATTGTTAATTAACTATAATTATCAATTAGATTTAACTTTACCTTTGTAGTCTTTTAGGTCCCGTAACAGTTTCCCACTAACTTTGTAGAGTTTTTGGTTCCCAAGAAGAAAGTAACACCCTTAATAGTGTACTAATTAAAGATATGGAGCCTAATTATAAAGGAAGGAAATGTGGAATGAAACATGTGTTTTATATGGGCTGCGTTTCCTACAGTATCTTGATGATAGAGAATGAAAAAACTTTGACAAAGTCACTTTTAAATATTTAACCACTAAAAGGTAGAAATGTAAAAATAAAAAATGTTTTAAAAAAATAATGAGTTGTGAAATATTTTATGGGTTAATGAGGAAGTTTCTGAAGGAGGCAAATTTTTTTCCTAGAGAATATTATTTGTCATAAAGGTTATGGGCACCATGGTCCCAGAAGAAGCTCGTCCACATACTTTGTAATTCTCTTCTACAATAAATTAGACTAAATTAAAAAGAAAAAAACCCATAACTTTGTCATTTATTTTAAAATTATCTCTAATCTAGTTTCAAAAGTTTCAATATTATTATTGACCTTTCATAAATATTTTAAAAATATTTTTTGAACAGAGAGTTGATGTAATAGAATCTGAAACGATATGATATAATTAACGTAGCTAGACCTTTGTTTGATATTTTTTAGTATTACAACATATGAGGGTGGCAACTTGAATACACCATCTTTTGATTAACGAGTTGAACATTGTCTAAAATTAAGGTTGAAAAGAGAGAAAATGTGGAATAAGTTTTAAAGCCAAATTGGGTAGATAATTGAGAAATAAATGCTCTTGATAATGATAGAAGAAAACTTTAGAGCAAAATTAGGATGTTAATTCCACATTATTCTAGATTTTGCTACGTATATAAAAGGTTTAGTGTAGTATCGAAAGTTTTTGAAAAAAATAAAGATTTTTTAAAATAAAAAGTAAAATTTAGAGTTTATTTATTTAAAATAATTTAGTCAAGAATAAGGCCTTTTACCTCACTCAAACTAAGGGTGTACCGGAAAAATGGATAAGACCAATTGAAATCGATTGAATCGACAGTGTCGATCCATTTTAACTCTTCTCCGGTCGGGGTTGGTTTTGTATTTTCCTTCCTTTTTTTAGGGAAAAAAATTGTCTCGTGATATTACGGGCCACCATCCTCTACGTGATGTAATAGGGAATTGACATGGGTTGCTTTAAAAATTTTTCTATTATTTTATTAAAATTCAAATCTAATGTATATCTTCTCAATATATTTCCAATATCTCTTTTTCTTTTCCATTTTCCAATACGTATTTGACTTTTCTCCTTCCTCTCTTCCCTCCCTAAAATCTCTCATTGAACCAAGCTCTTATAGAATGAAAATTTATAGGTACATAATTTTGATTTGCTTTTTATTTTTTTTTTATGGTTTTTTCTCATATTTAAAATGAAATACTACCTATGTTTTCAGCGCTCTGATTACATTAGGAGGTCCATAGCAACAATGTGAGAATTGCATCAACAAATTCTAATAATTGAGAATATAACGACAAATTTTGAACGAGTGAGTTACTTTGTGAATGATAAAATAATCAGTTTCTCGAACATGAAATCGCTCAAATTTTGTAAACCAATAAATGATATTTGCAATGTTTGTGAATCTACAAGCTTAGTTATATTTATTTTTGTAGAAAACTGGTCAAATAAAAATGAAAGACATGTTTAAAAAATGAGGGTGAGAGATTTAGTGAGGGAGAAAAAGTGAAGGACAAGAAAAAGGTGGGAGGCGATAGATTTTAGGGAGAGAAACGTAAATACGTTTTGAAAAAAAGAAAAAGTAAAAAGGAAAAAAGTAAAAGAAAAAAATTAAAAGAGATATTGAAGAGATACGGAGAAGATATGCATGGTTTGAATTTTAATAAAATAATAGAAAGATATGGAAGCAACAAATGTCAATTTTCTATTAGGTCATGTCATAATCAGGAGGCAAGTTTTTTCCTTTTTTTTTTTTTAATAGCATGTAAAAAAAAGGTAGTAATTACTAGTTAGTATGCATTATGCAATTAAATTTCTAGGGCCACTCTACTTCATAATTAACCTCCAACAACCATACACTATATACACATTACATAAGGTATAGTCGCTCTGCTTCACAACTATTCATAAAAATAATTGATATATCTTTCTAAATTTACCGTAGAAACAGGAAGAAATCTATTTGTTAAGGACAACGATATCTCAAGTATCCTGGCTATCTCCACAACAGCACCTCACAGTTTTACTTTTGGTTTTGGAGATAATGATTCTCATCTATATACTATGGATCATGTTTTTTTGGAGCCAATATGAAACTTTGTCTGCACTCCATCCATTTTTTTGTGAAATAATTTTTTCTTCCATTTTTTAGTTAAATAACTTTTTTGCTTCCGTTTCTTAGTTAAATAATTTTTTTTAATTCCGTTCTTTTAGTTAAATAATTTTTTTTCTTTCGTCAAATAATTTTCTTCTTTGTTATTTTAAGAATTATCTTCAGAATATTCTATTTTACGTTTTTTAAATGAAATTTCTTCTTATTATATATAATCAAATATAATTATTTTTATTCGTTTAAGAAATGTATGGAAAATTTCAAAATTTAAAAAAGAACAAAAAACACTTACTACATATATATGTCAAATTTATTTATTTAAAAATTTCCAAATTCAAAAAAGAACAAAAAACACTTACTACATATATATGTCAAATTTATTTATTTATTTTAAATTTCTTCCGCACTTTCAAAGGGTGCAACAACTACTGTTTTAAAAATATTTTCAATCTTTTTGTGTAAATTGTCGACAATTTCAAAACTTATATATATAAACAAAGAAAAAAAACCTGAAGGCTGGTTCGAACTCGGGTGGACCAATCATGTCATTCCTATCTATTTCTTCTCCTCAGGATGGTAACAAGGGATCCATTGAAATCGATTCAAATTGGACATACAAAATCTTTCATACAAGGAACCACGCCAGCAGTCACTTTCATTAATTGACTGCTACTTTAAATGTTATAAACCTACTTTATTTTCACTTGCCTACCTAGAGATGACAACAATTTAAAATGTTTTATATATTCAACGTGGCGTCAATGGAGCGTTTGGTCGTCCCCATCTATTTTTCAAATATTATTCTTGAAAATAGTTTGACTAGTGATATATTTTTGGAATAAATTAAAAAAATATTATTAAAAAAAATGTCCGAGCTTCAGCCACCAGAAATAAAGAAGGCAAACCAACCTCAGGACCACATGGGAGGAAACTCACTAAACATAAATGATTTTTATATTTTTTTTCTATGATATGTATCTACTTTTTTCCCCTCTTCTCAACTTATTTTCTTCTAAACTTGGAGTAGAAAATATGATATGTATATAGAAAAATTAAGATAGCATCGCTGAATTGGTTATGACCTATATTCTCGACTAAAAAGTCAGAGATTAAAATTTCAACCTCTACGTGTTGTTGAACTACAAGGAAAAAAAAAGAATTATTCAATTTAAGACACTTATTTATAATAAATAGACATAAAAAGGAGGGAAAATATCAATGTTTAACCCTAAATTACTTTGCAAGGTATATCAATTTTAACTCTAGGTTTTTAATGTCATCAAATTTAACCCTAAACTTCGACAAGTGTTGTAAATTTTCCGTATGTTATATTCAATTTCCACTAATTCACTCACTAATTTTAACAAAAAAAAAGGTACAAAAATCAAGATTGGCACGAAAATTAACTTCAACCAATGCACAATATGAGCTTTTAAATCCTTATCAACTCTCCCAAAACTCACAAATTTCAACAAATGTGGTAAAAATTGTAGGTGAAAATTGAAATCTCGTTAAAAGGTAAAAAGTGCAACACTAGTTCAAATTTAAAGGAAAAAAATTGCAATACTTATACATCCCAACTTAGAGTGCAACTTGATGAAATAATTAAAATTTAATGATATTGTAAGGTACAAGTCCTCGTGACTTTGATTTTGGTTTCATACTCAAAAAGCTTCGTACCAATTGAGATAATTATCTTCACTTATATACCATACGTACATATCTCATTATTTTCTAATCAGCGTGAGATTTTGTTTACCCACTCCTCGCAATGTTTCAAAATTTAAATGGAGTGGGCTCCACAATCTTGAACACACAGCATGACACCACTATAAAATGGCACAACCATGGTGGCAGTTGGAAGCACGCACAAAAGTTGGCTTTTTTACGCAAATGGAGTCAACAAAGTTGTTCTTCCTACTCTCGTTCTTCGTCTCCCTCATGATAGGTGTGTGCGATATGATTTTTATTTTGGTTTAGAATACTACTTTATATTTATATTTGCATGTGTTTATTTTAGGGCAAGGATTAGGTGGCCATTATCCTCTCCGCCAGCATTTCGAGGTAAGCAATAAATTGCTTGTGTTTGGGGATTCCTACGTTGACACTGGCAATGAGCCTTCCGAGCAGAGTTTCATCAACTATCCATATGGGATGACCTTTCCCGGTAAACCTGATGGACGTTACTCTGATGGTTATGTCCTCACAGATTATTTTGGTAAATCTAAATGATCTCTAATAAACTATTTTTGTAGTTAAATATATTTTTATTAGCTAATGAATATATATAATTCATCTTTGACTATATAAATGCAGCGAGTTTTCTAGGCCTTGAGTCTCCAATCCCATACATGCAACTGTATGCAGTAAGTCGGCCAGAGTTGAAAGATGGTGTCAACTTTGGTGTTGGTGGAACGGGTGTGTTTGAAACACTAGTTAGTGGACCAAACATCACTAGGCAAATTGACTTCTTAGAAGAACTTATTGATAACTCTACGCTTACTCCACACTACATTGACTCTTCCATAGCACTTGTCTCTATATCTGGCAATGACTATATGACTTATCTTGTACGGAATATTTTAGATCTCGTGGGATTTATCAAGGTAATTCTTTCTCAATTTTGATGAACTAAAAAAAAAAATGAAAGAACTATTTTTAAACTTAAAACTCACTTTTTCCATTTGCATGTACAACTAATGGAAAATTTTATTCTTCCATTCTTATATTTTAGAAGGGGTGAGTCAAATCTCACAACTTTTAACAAAGCTAGTAATATCCTATGTTCATGGGATTCTCTCTCTTTTTATTATAAATTTGTGGCAGGCATTGCCAAGTATGTCATATTACGGGCTGGTTTTTTTATAGTGCTTGTGTGTTGGATTTTTTTTTAAATTTTTTTTTTGTGTTTTATATTTTATAGTTGGGTATGGTTGTTCTTGGAGAAATTTCACTTTATACCCCAAAATTTAATATGTAGTTAAAGAAAAAATCATAAGTTTTCATTTTCTTTCTCAAATATAGCATAAATTTTGAGTTAATCCTTACTAATTTATATTTAATAGGTATGTGTTTGTTATTTGTATGGTCGTAGGGTATAAAACCTTTCGTTAGGTCAATGGTGGACGAGACCATAGAGAACTTGAAACGCATCAATAGCTTGGGAGTGAAGAAAGTAGTGGTAACAGCATTAGGCCCTGTGGAATGTGTCCCATTTATGACATTTCTTATATCATATGAGCAATGCTTTCCCGTTCTAAGTTTAGTGGCCGATTACCACAACATTTTGTTACGACAAGCCGTGGACAGATTGAACAGGGAAGCAACTAATGATTCTCATTTCAGCATTCTGGATCTCCATGGTGCCTTCTCCTATATAATCCAAAACAAAGGATACCCTGAAGGTAACATAACGTTTCCAACTCCGTTGAAACCATGTTGCACAGGAGTATGTGGACAGGTAGATAGAGAAGGGAATAAGTTGTATGAATTATGCGAAGATCCTAAGTCAGCCTTCTATTGGGACTTTGTTCATCCTTCACATGAAGGATGGCTTGCTGCGTTTAGCTACTTGACCGACACTGATCTCAAGAAGTCTTACTAAGATCACCTAATTAATGGCTTTGAAGAAGAAACGCTGTGTTATTATCTAATCTAAGTACGTGATGATCATGGTTTAATATAATGTAAGTGGTCAATCATGTTTTATTTTCTCTACTTTGCTTTGCGTCAGTGTGGATTGTAGTATCTCTATGAATAAAAGCTTCTTTATTAAGTGAGCAAATTGAACTCTTTATGTAGTGGATTATATATATTATTGCAGAAGCTTTCAATAATATCAATATTAAAATTAATGAAGGAGTGTGAGAGATTAGTTAGAATGTTTGGTGGCAATAAATATATGTTTAAACTCCCAAAGCTCCTCTTTGCAAATAACAAAGATGTCTGCAAATTGATTAGATATGTATACCGTGGAACATGTTCTTGTCTAACTAATGCGTGACTTTGTTTGTATAATATATATCTTCCCTTCGAACAAAGTACCGTCGAGCCTCCCCGCTAGATTTAGACCATAGCTTTGTGCCATGTTATTTCCACAATGTATGATATTGTCCACTTTGGTTATAATCCTCACGATTTTATTTTTGGTATCACCCAAAAGGTGTCATACCAATTGACATAATTGTCTTTGTTTATATACCATGGATTATGCTCTTCCTTAGTCAATGGAGACTTTTGTTTGCATTACCCTTACAAATCCAACATAATATTGATTTGATCGATTTCTGAAATTTATTTCTTCACCCCTAGGTAACACTCGTAGATGAAAAAAATTTATTTTTGCTCTCCAAAATCGAATAGGCAAGAAAGTTTCTCCCAACGGAACGTAACGCCTATTACTCATTAGAGGCTGAATTAAAATTAAAAAAAAAAAAGCGGAAAAAGCTACAACTAAATTTTAGGGCAGAAAATTTCAAAATAGTAAATTGGAGTGTCATTCCAACATGGATAGTGAGTTGGCTGAGGCATTACCGTTGCTCTGGTTTGTATGAAAATGATTTTTGAATATTATTTGTTTGTTTTCGGCTGTGACTTTTAGAATCCACGAATTATTAAAAAGGACATTACATTTGAAAGAAAAAAAAATGAAGAGTGAGAGGCAAAATTATGGTTAGATTTTGGTAAAATATTAGAATTGAAGTTTGCACCATACTAAAAAGTACAAGGAACTCCAAGTGCTATAAAAGGAGGTTATGATCTTGTATTTATTACTCCCAATTGAAATACTTTGAATCTGGTTTGAGCGATATTTRCTGAGAGAGTGTTTTGTCTAATCAGAATCGGAGAGAGAAATACGTGTGATTGTAATAATTTTTCATAGTAGATTTTCTTCCATAGACAATGACTTTTTGTTCGCTTTGGAGTTCTAAACCTAATACGATAAGCTACAGGCCCGTTGTCCATCACTCTTCCTTAAACCCAACTGGTGCAGTCTTTAATTGCAAGAGGAAGAATGAAACTAATCGAACTTTCAGTTATTTCTTCATTGCCCTTAACCCATATATGGCACCTCTTTCTCAGACTCCTTCAGTTTATCCTTCCCATTTTCAGGGTACTTTGATGATTTTATAAAGGAAAGTTTTGATATATCAACAATGAAGGGTTAGGAACATATCACATATATATATAGATTGATCAAAATCTTAAGTCGACTCTTCTTTTTTGAACACGTTATGCAATGCAATTGGTTCAATTCTTTCCGACCTTAGTTTTAGTTGGAGAGAAACAGTTAAACTTTCAATGATACCTTTAGATCAAGCAGCTTTGGGACAACACATCAAAATAGTCGCTTCCTCTGGGTCATCTAGATCACAACCTTTTTATAACTACGATGCCTCCATTATTTCTCTTAATTGGAATGTTTCTTTCTTGCATTCTTTTTGTTTATATGTTTCTCACATACCTTTCTCTCGAATGAAATGTTTTCCTCTTTCAAAAAAGAGGGAGAAATCTTAGACAAACAGCAAGCTAAAGACCGAGAGAAAATAAACATGGAAAGAGGGAGGGATACAAATTTTAGAGAGATATTACAAAAAAATTTAAAGATAAAATACAAAAATATAGATAGATAAAGTAAAATTAAAAAACTTATCTCAAGCCAGCATAGTGATTAAGGTACATATCTCTTACCAAAAAGTCATGAGTTTGAACCCCCACTCCCATAATGTTGAAAAGAAATAACTTATCTCAAAATTTAAGGGGGAAATAGGGTAAAATAACCCACATGAGCATACTGCATTAAAAAAAGTCTACTCATTTGGTTAAGATTGGAGTTTCAAATCACGACACCTAACTCGGTTCATTTTAATTAATGTAATTTTAAAATCTTAGTTTCATCATGTACCTTTAAAAAGTGGCTATATATATTTTGGTACCTATTTAAAAAAAATAACACAAATTCTACCTTTAATGGAATCCTTTAATATAAAATCATGGTTATATTTCAAGAAATAACCAAGAAATATATTGAATGTAATGTTGAAATTGAGATAGAAAAATGAGACTAAAAATAAAATTAATGAACTAAAATGGTCACTTTTTAAAAGTACATGGACCACACCAACGAAGTACAATTGTTAAAATAAATAAAAGTTAAAAGTATATTGACCAAAATAAATATCTAAAAGTATAGAAATGTAAATCAAAGTGTTGAAATTACAATAATCGAAATAGCTAGTATTTTAAGCCATGTATAATATATTATTATCCTACCAAGTTCAAAAGTCAACTTATTTAAACAGGAATGTCCATTCATATTTCTCCGCAAGGATACCTACCTAAAATAATTTACTAAACAGTGTATAATTCATAAGTTGGAGAAAGTTCAGTACCCATGTGCCATGTGGTGCCTTTCGAAGACAGGCGACCCATATAAAACTACACATGTTCCACATCCCCTTTTTTAAAATAAATCCAGTCTAGCTCCACATCTTTTAACACGTGGTAATGGTATTACTTTATTCCTTTTAGGGACGAAGCACTGCACACGATGGGGTGACCTATGCAGTATATAGATTTCAATCTTCTATTTCTACAATAATATGATATTGTCTACTTTATACATAACTCTCCTAATCAACTTCATACCAATAGATATAATCATTCTCACCATGAGTTGTAAAGTTCACTACACTAGTGAGTTCATGGTTTCATTACATGTTTAGGGGGAGGGAGCTATAAACCTTACAATACAGGGTCTGAAACGCCCTGTAAATTATCGGTATAAAACTAGAATTGTGATGTTCTATAGCTGTTAATAAACTAACAATATAATAGTTCTCGAATTTGATACCTACCACATCGATACTAGGTACCAAGACATGTCGGAGTCAAAGTCCACTTGAATAACCATAAGCAGTGATGTGTTCGGAAAAATTATGTCAACCTAACTATTCATCATGTATTCTTTAGCTGCCGGTATATTACTTGCACATCTCATTATGATGGTAGGTTTACATCCTTAGCTATGTGAGACATTTTAGGACATGTTGATTTTGAATTTGTATCCACCGCAATCACTATTAAAGAGCTATCCATAACATTTGCTACAACAATCCACGTTATAAGGCTATTGAGGAGGAGAGGATGGATCCTGAGTGTGAGAGGCAAGCATTTCTGAAGATGAGACGGTAAAATTAAGCGATGTGAGCATGAGATTGATAGAGGTCAATAAAACTATGTCGTGTCTTTTCAGTATGGGGCGCGCCTTTCTTTTATTACCTTTGATATTGCATTTTAAATGACGTTTTTACCTATTTGATGTTGATTCTTGACTATCATCAAAACCTCGATTTTTGAAATTTTCTAAACCTGATAATAAAGGGAGAGAGATAGTGTGATCCATCCTTAATAACAAATTACTACACCAGTCTAAATTATTGTATTGTTTTACTTTGGTATAATTTAAGAAGTTTAGACCATATTAAATGAGCAGTATTTAGAGAGGGCGAGAATATGTAGATAGATAAATGCGAGAATGTTTGATTGGTGATGCAATTAATGGTCTAGTAAATTAAACTTGTTACGGTATGGAACAAAAGAAACAAATAATAAAAAATACACTATTGGTCCCTAAGATTTAAACTAGGTGTATAATGAAGTATTTGAAGTACTTTAAAAAGATACTTTTACTTCTAGTGCCTAAAGTTTGGAAAATAATTTTATATAGTTTCTGAATTCATTTGACTGTTAGTTGAGTAACAAAAATATAATGTGATAATTAATTGTTGACTGACTTGACAATGCTACTATATTAATTTTTTTATATATATATTTTTATTTTGTGACTGGATTTGATTGATAGATTTGTGAGGTGGTTTTGATTTGAATTCACTCCCATGACATTGGTTGTTGATGGTTGATTGTTATCGCGTCTACGACATGTTGCAGTATCTACAACATTGGTTGTTGCTTGTCAGATGTTGCAACGTGCGTCTACGACATTTTACAGCTTTTCTACAACACTGGTTATTGATTGTAGTTTTTTGAGTGGACAACATTGGTCGTTGATAGTTGGTTGTTTGGGTTTTTTGGTTTTGGTTTAGTGTGGTTTTGATTTTGGCTTTGGGTTTTTATATTTTGTTTAGGCATTAGTTTTGGGGTCGTTGCCATTGTGAGTTTGAAAGGGAAAGTTAGATAATATTATTAGATAAATGTTATTTGAATTATAATTAGATTTGGATTAAGATATAGTTTAAGATTAGGATACAGTTTATAGTTAGGTTTCCTATTTGAATTATGGTTAGAGATTATATTTATATAAATAGGTTATTAGGTTTGTATTTCAAACAATTCAATCCAATAAAATCGTGTTTGTTATTATCTGTATTTTCTCTTCTCCCTTAAAATTTACACCAACTACCTTGCGTCTCACGTTCGAACCATACATACAACGAATTTGGATTATAGAAATCTACTTGATAAGCTACATAGCATTGATTTCGAAAAAAAAAATAACACAAATCATTGATCATAGAGTAATAAAATACTATTGATTCTAGAAAATAATATTATATATTTTTTTATAATATTAAAAATACAAATGATACAGTGCTTACTAATAATGGATATATATTTCTAATTAAGAAATTATAAGTTCGATCTCCTAACCTCCGTATATTATATTTAAAAAAACCAAAAAACAGTCTAGATGACCGATCATTGAGTAATAAAACATAGGTGATCTTTTTTAGGTTTGTCGTATATGGCATGCAATTCCCTCCCATATGTCTACACATTCACCAATATATGCCCAAATAACTATGACTCCTCACTTGGAAAAATGTGAATCATGTGACTCATAACTATTAACTATTCATTGTCCAACGTCCAACCTAATTAATTGTTTATTACTGATGTCCCACCAACCTCTATCATTGCAAATTTTTTGAAAAATTGGGGTGGGTAGCTTGATGTATTCCAAAATATATCATATTTTTATAATTTTCAAATATAAGAAAAAGTTTCACTTATATCCGTAGTATATCAGATATTCATATTAGTAGTATATCAGATACTCATATCAGTAGTATATTAGATGTATATCATATATATATTGTACAAACACTCATATCAGTAGTATATCAAATGTATATTACATACAGATTGCAAGTATATCAGACATTCATATTGGTAATATATCAGATGCATATCACGTATATATAAGTATATTAGATATATTATAGATATAGTACCGATGTATATCATTTTAGTAAAGTTGTCATTTTTCCTTTGTTTTTACTTTCATTTTTTTCCTTGGAACGTAGAAGCTGTCATCGTACTAATATTTTGCCGTATGTGGTGAACAACTCATCAATGTATGCTCTACATATTTCACATGTGCTTTACCCAAGTATGGAGTAGGCTTCAAAATCTTTAACACTACTATATAATATATAGTACGACATGGTGGCTGTTGAGAGCACAAGCAAGAATTGACTTCTCTAACACAAATGGAATCAGTAAAGTTGTTCCTCCCACTCTTGTTCATCATCTCCCTTGTGGCAGGTGTGTGTACCATATGATTTTTGTTTGGTTTAGAAGGCTATTTTACATTTACATGTGTTTGTTTCTCTTAGGACAAGGATTAGCCCATCATTATTCTCTTCGTCGGTCTTTTGAGGCAATCAATAAGTTATTTGTGTTTGGGGATTCCTACGTTGACACTGGCAACGTGATAGACGGTGATCTTGTAAGCAAGTATCCAAATGGAATTACGTGGCCTGGCAAACCTGCTGGACGATACTCAGATGGTTATGTTCTCACAGATTACTTTGGTAAATCTAAATGATTTCTAACAATTTCACTATTTTAATTGTTACATATATTTTTATTAGCTAATTAATGTATAGTACATATTTGATTATGCAGCGAGTTTTCTAGGCCTCAAATTTCCCATCCCATATGTGCAATTGCATGATGTAGTAATGCATATAGATGGTGTCAACTTTGCTTTTGGTGGATCTGGTGTGTTTACGACCATATTTCCTGTACCAAAGTTAACCGACCAAATCGACTTCTTCCAAGGATTTATTGATAACTCTACACTTACTCCACAATACATTGACTCCTCTATAGCCCTTGTCTCTGTGTCCGGTAATGACTATATGACTTACTTTGTAAATCATATCTTCGATTGGACGAGATTAGTAATGGTAAGTTTTTCTTTTAACTTTAATGAACTGAATAGAAAACACATTGGAAAAACATTTTTTTTAATTTAGAACTCACCTTTTTCCATTTGCATGTACAACTAATGAAAACTTCTATTTTTCTATTCTTATACTTTTAAAAAGGGGCGAGTAAAATCTCACCACTTTTAACAAAGCTAGCCAGTAATATCCTATGTTTTCATTGGATTCTTTTTCTTTTTATATATAGAATTGTGGCACAAGATGCAGGCATTGCCAAGGCTATTTAAATATGGGGCTGGGTTTTCATAGTGCTTGTTCTTGTGTTGGATTTATTATATATATACATTTATTTATTCGACACAAGTTATTTTTCCATAAAATTTAATATTTACTTTTTTAAAAAAATCAGAACTTATTCCAGAGAATAAGAAACATGAAATAGTTACCAAGATTACCAAAATGGTTGTTTAGACCAATAATCCTTACTAATTTGATATTTATGTGTGGTTATGAATGTTGTAGGGTTTGAAGCCCTTCATTAGGTCAATGGTGAACACAATCAGAGACGACTTGAAACGCATCCATAGTTTGGGAGTGAAGAAAGTAGTGGTTACAACGTTAGGACCCTTGGAATGTGTCCCCATGACGACCATGTTTCTAGAATACGAGCGATGCGTTACAATTCTGAATTTAGTGGTCGATTACCACAACTCTTTGTTACAAGAAGCTGTCACCAAATTGAACAACGAAACAAATACTGATGATCCTTCGTTCTCCATTCTCGATCTTCATGCTGCCTTCTCCTCCATAATCCAAAACAAGGGATACCCTAAAGGTAATATAACGTTTTCAACACCATTGGAGCCATGTAACAAGCTTGTAACTGAACAAGGGGTCATGAGGTATAAACTATGCGAAGATCCCAAGTCAGCCTTCTATTGGGACTTTGCTCACATTACACATCAGGGATGGCTTGCTGCGTTTAGCTACTTGACTGACACTCTCAACAAATCTCACCAAATCACCTAATTTATGGCTTTGAAGAAGACACTGCACTTCATCCCATCCTCTTATTTTCTATCTATATTTTGCATGCATAGATGGTTTAACGTAATTTAAGTGGTCAATAATGTCTCATTTTCTCTACTTGCTTTTATATCAGCGTGTAGTGTAGTTGCTCTATGAATAAAAAGCTTCTTTGTAAAGGGAGCAATTGAACTCTTTGTGTACTGGATTATTGTACTAGTTTTCAAATTAAAATTATTAAATGAGTATGAGCTTAATTAGGATGTTGGGTGGCAATGCAATTCTTGAAACGATAAAATATGTGCGGGGTAGGGAGAACATTGAAAAGGAGTGGCATATGGTTTAAAATGAAAGGAGTTGAAGAACCAAAACAGATGGAAAATTCCTCAATATAATTCAAGATGATATTTTTACACAGCCTCACATGGTTAGGCTAAATACAGAGAGTTGGTGGGGATACATAAGAAAATAAAGGAAGAAAGCTAATAAATTGATTTTACATTAGCCAAATTACCGAAATTCATAAAGGAAAGAATTAAGAGAGATGATTGCAAGAATAGTTCTAAATCACAGCTGGTGTACAACTCACATATTACAACAAACAAGCAAACAAGAACCTTCAGTACATAAGAAAAAGGAAGGTGATAGACAGCAGTAATAGGTAAAGCAATAAGTAATTGGCAAATCATCACAACTCACGTTTTCAATATGTGAGTGCTTTTTTATGTACTGATTCTATATAATTGATAAATACTAATTTATATTTGATAAATACGTGTGTTTTGTTATATATGGTTGTAGGGTTTCAAACCCTTCATTAGATCACTGGTGGACAACATCACACCAGACTTGAAACACATTCATAGTTTTGGAGTGAAAGAAAAATAGCGATAACAGCGTCGGACCCGTGGAATGCTCCCTACCATCGCTATTGTCGCCCATCTTCAGTTCAGCTACACCTTGCAAATGTCCCATACTGGGAACGTCCCTTCTTTTTAAAAATTCTTTTTTCTAAACTTTAGAAAGTAAATAGACACCTAACTCAAATTTAAAGGACCAAATCTAACTTAGAATCTAGGATAGTATAAGGAGAATTATAGAGAATAGTTTATTTTTGCTTGATTGTCGTGCCACCTAAGGAGGTCGTCTCTCAAGCCTTCGTGTACAAAGTCGTCTTTTTAAGAGGGATCATTCTGCCAAAATTTAAAAGTGCATTATTTTCTAAAATAGTTTACAAATAATTATATTTAAAAATTAGTCATATTCTTTTATAATATTAAAAATTCATCGATCCTTGAGTAATAAAATGGTGGAACTTTTTGAATAAAATTATTTTTGTTAAAAATGAAGAATCACAACTTTTCATAAACTGGTGCATCTTTTGTAAAGTTTATGTCATTTTATCAAAAGACGTAACTTTATATGAAAATATGACTATTTGAATGGTCACGTTTTGCAAAACAAAAAACTGATCCCTCAAAATTCTTTCTTTTTCCTCTCTACGAATACTTAAATACTGTGAGTTCGTTGAGTTTTGTGTGTGAAGTGCTGCATTCACAGGTTGGTATATTCATCCTATTCTTGGAGACAATTGTTCATGAAACCTTGAGCACCGTAGAGGGAACAAAATTATCTTAAGGAAACAACGCTACGTTGGGTTCGAATTTTTAATTTTGTGTTTCCTTAAGTTTTCTCTATACATTATCTCCAACAATCTTAAGACAATTTTGGTTTTATATTTTATTTTGTTTCCAATCTTGGCTACCGTTATGCATTATTGTTTGTTTGTGGTTTGAAACAAATGAATTTTTTTATTTAAGTTGTCACAATTTTGTTCTCTGGGTTGTGATCTCAATTTTGTTAATCACATTTTGGTGATATTTTGTAATTTTATACTCATGCTCTGAAATGCATTCATTGATTTGTCATGTGGCATGAGCTTATTGCAAGGTTTTGATTGATATGTGCTTCTTAACCAACATTTGTATGCAATAATTTCATTCAATTGATCAATTTTATGCATCTGTTCTTGTGTGTTGGTTATGTTTAATACTCTATTGAGTATGAATCACATAACACAAGTGTGTTTTTGTCTAAAAGCCACTCAAATTTGTATCTTGAATCTAGTGTCTTAAAATTGAGATTTGTAAATATTGTGATTTAGTGGGTTATTCCATATTTTGTGTTGATAATATGTAAATATATATATACTTTGTGGTTTCATTCTTGTGAACGAGCGTTGGTGTAATTATTTGTCGTGTAATTAAATTTAGCGGCATGGTTAAGTATTTGAACTGGATATGTGGTTAAATATCCAAATTGCTTTTGCAATTAGTGCATTGTTGTTATGAATGGTGTATTTTAAAGTATGCATATAATTATGATATGAAGTTGTGGAAAGGTAACTTCATATAAAAATTTGAAATTGTGGGGTGCATTGCAAAAGCGAAAAAATTATCTTAATTAAGTCTAAGAGATTGTTATTGATATAAACCTCAATTTATCTCAAAGATATTGGCTGCAGTATTTCACAATTGAAGCATTGTGCATAGTTGGTAGTCTAATGGATTTTACAAATTGCTCACTGTTGAACTTAATTAGCATATGTAGCGAGCAAATTTAAAAGATTTGCAAATAGTCTTAGAAAAGATTATTGGGAAGTGGCGATAATATAGATATTTAAATATCCGAAATAACAGGTTGCACTCGTACTGGGAGGATAAGTGATGAAGATTGGATCTTTGATATTAATGATTCAAAATCCAAAGGTGGATCATATTCAATGTAATATGAATTTAAGTGCAACAATTAATGTATAATGGTTAGTCTCGACATAAAACTATGAGACAATTACTCTCTGATAGAATTATATCAATTGATTTTGTGAAATCAAAAGATAATATTGCGGATCCACTAACGAAAGTTTTAGCAAGAGAGCAAGTGAAATTGTCTTCAATAGGAACGGGTTTGAAGCCTATAATATAAGGGTTGAAATAATGGTAACCCAACCTAGCTGACTGGAGATCCCAAGATCTAGGTTCAAAAGGGAAAACAAATTTATGTATACAACTCAGAGGAGCACTAAGAAAAGGAATTATAAATTTCTAACCGTTCCTATATAAAAATTAGTGCTAACCTGGAAATGGATGACGTTAAGATATTCTTTTAATGACTCTTTAGCTCTTTTATAAGAGTGGGGTATTACAAGGATAATCTTTAAAGAAGTCACCTATGTGGGTGTGAAGGGGCCGCTTCTAGGAGAATTTTTAAGGCTGAATTCTCTACAAACACTCATGAAACCAGGCGGTATTCAGGGCCAAAATGAATACAAACATGAGAACCATTAGTATTTCGAAGAATATCTATGTTATTATTATGGATTTGATTTACTCTTGAAAAATTGACAGTTCAAAGTTCTTTAACTACTGATTGGCTATGTAAACTCCATAGTTTTACTCAGGAAAGTTCAAAGTTTTAGACTACTTATCGTGATGTAGTTATTCTTCATGAGTAATCGTACATGTTTTTAAAAATAAATTTTATTCATGGGGATTGTTGGATTTTTTTGAATAAAATTATTTTTGTTTAAAAATGAAGAATCACAACTTTCATGGAGTGGTGTATATTTTGTAAAGTTTATGTCCTTTTATCAAAAGACGTAACTTTATATGAAAAAAAATGACTATTTGAATGGTCACGTTTTGGAAAACAGAAAACTGATCCCTCAAAATTTTATCTTTTCCTCTGTACGAATACTTAAATACTGTAAGTTCGTTGAATCATGTGTATGAAGTGATGCATTCACAGTTGGTATATTCGTTTTGAGAGACAATTGTTCATGAAACCTTGAGCACCGCAGAAGGAACAAAATTCTCTTAAGGAAACAACACTACGTTGGATTCAGATTTTTAATTTTGTATTTCCTTAAGTTTTCTCTACATATTATCTCTAACATAAAATATAAAGGTGGTCTTTTTAATGCTTGGGTGTATATGGCATGCAATTCCCTCCCCTTGCCTACACATTCACCAATATATGCCCAAATAACTATGACTCCTCGCACGGAAAATGGAATCATGTGACATAATTTTATTCATGGTTCAATCTAATTAATGGGTTGGAAAAATCCCAACCCGACCGGGTTCGGTCGGGTCTCGGGTTGACCGTTGAAAATTTCAGGTTGACCCGACCCAACCCGACATCCTTTTTTTTTTTAATATATATATATATATATATATTAGTGAATACATATATATAATAATTATTAATCAAAACCTTATTTTTTAGGTTCAATCTCAACCATCCATTTTCTTTTAATCTCAACCATCCATTTTCATTTAGAGTTTCATCTCTTACCCCCTAGTTTCTAATCTCTTCCTCTCCTCCATTTACCCAATCAAACCCTCTCCTCCATTTTTATCCATCATCAAGCTTGAACTTGAAGCTCCCTCCTCCCGCTGCCGCCACCGCACCATCTCCTCCCACCCCACCTCTTGTTGCATCCGTCGCCGTCCAGCCACCCCGCCGCCGCCCGCCTGTTTTTGAAGTGGGTAAGTTTCAGACCGACGCCTCTGCTTGGGTTCTCTTTGCCTTTTTTTTCTTCTTTTTTCGCCCTCTTTCTCGCGTCTACTTCTTTTATGTGTCTCATCTTATTTGATTGCTCTCATTATCTTGACAACCTTTTCTTCTAGGGAGGAAGAATGGACATCCAAGCCAATCCCACGGACAACTTTTTCTTCTCTGTCCCTCTCTCCTTTTTCGTGGTCTCAAGAAAAAAAAAAGAACGCATACAAGAAAAACTCATTAATAGCTACAACCCAACAATCCAACCTGACCCAACCTGAATTTTTTGGGTTGGGTTGGGTTGGGTTGGGTTGGGTTGGGTTGTACATATGGTCAACCCGAAAATTCGGATTGGTCCCAAAAAACCATTAACTCGACCCAACCTAACCCGTGAACACCCCTGCTAATCAGTTGTTTTCACCAACTTCTCTATGATAAATTTTAAAATGATACTTTTTTTATATACTTATTTATTTATTTTTTATGTACATAATTTAACATTAAAAAAAGAAAATTATTCGAACGACGTACACTACCTAAAAAGACGTATATAATTACCATTATCGTTAAAATAGTTAATATTAAAAATGTGCTCTCAAATACTTGTCTTTTCCTTTATTTTTTCTTTTATTATTATTATTTTTTTCATTTTGAACGTGGAAGTTGCCATAGTACTACAGTAATATTTTGCCCCATCCGATGGACAACTCATCAATGTATACGACATAATTATTTCACATGTGCTTATTTAAATAGAGTAGGTTTCAAGATGTTTAACACTACTGTTCAAAAAGCACAACCCTCGTGGTTGTTGAGAGCACACGCAAGAATTGACTTCTCTAACATAAATAGAGTCAACAAAGTTGTTCCTCCCCCACTCTTGTTCATCATATCCCACTTGCATGTGTTTGTTTGTTAGGGCAAGGATTGGGTAGTGATTCTTCTCTTCACCAGCATATTGAGACAATCAATTTGTTTGTGTTCGGAGATTCCAATGTTTGACACTGACAACGAGATATCCAATGATAGTTTCATCAAGTATCCATATGAAATTATCTTTTTCAACAAATTTGATGGACGTTACTCGAACGATGGTTAAGAAAGAATTCAAAATCAAAGTTTTAGCTTGTTGGACAAATCAAATGACAGTGGGCTGATATTTTCTCTGTCTCCTTTCATCAAGCACCAAAATATAAACTAAATATTGATTACACGAGATACCAAAAAGGAAAACAACGGCTACTAAGGACACATATAGAAGGAATTGAATAAAGACAAGAAAGGAAATAACATTCGTTGTAATGAATGCTGAAAAGATAATTGTCAGTGTACCCAAAATAGAAGATTGAAAAAGAGAAGCAATCTGCTGCCAGTCTGTCATGAGACTCTGATTTGTACAAGCTGGAAATTTTTTTCACGTTGAAGGCAAGAAGGAGGAAGATTTCATTGGAGAAAGATTCAAGGAAAAGAATCAATTCCAAAGGATCTCAAGCTGTGTTGGGGTAGAGTATGGTCAGGCATTTGTCTCTTCCTCGTTTTTGGAAGGATCAGTTTCTAATTTTACAATTTTCTCACAGATTACTTTGGTAAATCTAAATGATCTTTGAAAAGTTAATTATTTTAGTAGTTGAATGTATTTTTATTATCCAATTAATATATAATATATCTTTGAACATACACACATGCAGTGAGTTTTCTAGGCCTTGAGTCTCCGATCCCATACATGCAATTGTATGACGTAGTAAATCCGGAGTTGTTAGATAGTGTCAACTTTGCTTTAGGTGGAACCGGTGTATTTGATGTACAAATTTTTGTGCCAAACTTGACCAAGCGAATCGACTTCTTACAAGAGTTTATTGACGACTCTACGTTTACTCCACGAGACATTAACTCTCCTTTAGTACTTGTTAGCTTGGTATCTGACAATAACTATTTAATTTACCTAATACAAAATTTTGGTAATAGCACATAATTAATTAAGGTAACTCTCTTTTGTAAATGTTTGAACTCAAAAATGAAAAAAAACAAAAACTCTTTTCAAACTTAAAACTTGCTGTTTCAATTATTTGCATATATTTGCCATGGATTTTAAACTAATGGAATTTATTATTTTTTCTATTTTTATACTTTATTATTATTTTTTTGACAAGTCTATTTTTATACTTTATGGAGGTTGGACTCTAGAAGATTCCAAGAGTTCAATTCTGTATCAATTAAAGTTCTGCGAGGGTTTAGGGTCCATGATGATGAAGTCCAAGCTTTTTGGCTTTTATCTGTTAGGGCAAAGAAACATGGTAGCTTGGTAATTTTCATGTAGGTCTCATTCACTATTTTGACAGATTCTTAAAATTTAAGTCATTTATGTAATTAAATTATCTAAAAATTCTATATGCATAGTTATACCTATTTTATATTGACCTTAGTATAGAGTAACTGCCGGACTTGAAATTGGTTGTTGGTATTAAAAATTGATCGATTAAAATATTGGTATATATGCTAATATCAGAATGACATAATATGACAAGCGTTTTTAGCCTCGTGGTACCCACCTACTTTGAGGTTCAAGTTCGAGCTAGTCAACGAGTCCCAATTATAGAGATATACTTTGGTAAGCCACATGACATTGATTCCGAAAAATTTACTATTTTAAAATTCATATATAATTGTTTTTTAATATTTAGTTATTGTAAATACTTAATTGAAAAAAAAAATTAATAAATGAAAGACCTAAATTGAAAATTTTTAAGGGACCAAATTGACACTCCTTTTCATCCTAGACTAAAACATATATTTACATTTACTTAAATACTTTTCTCAAATTTTTTTTTTTTATTTTGTTTTTGTTGTTGTTTTAGTGTGTGGTTTAACTATTTCTTGCCTCGTAGCTAAGTTTAGGTATTAATTTTTGTTGTTACATTTCATGGTTTTTTATGATTGAGTTTTGGGTGATTTATTTGGTGAATTTTTTACAATTTTGTACCTTATTAAGTTTTAAGAGATAGGACGATATATCAATTTCGAGATTTATAACTTTATTGGACGAAGTTAAAATATATGGTTGAAACCGATTCATTTGTATTATGAATTCTAAAGCTAGGAAATCTTGGTATTCGCGGTAATTAATTATGTTTAAGTAGAAGTATGATATTTCTGTTTATTTCCAATAGTTACGATTTATGTTGAACACTTGAAAGTTCGACACTCTTATTAAACATAATTGAAAGTTTACTGAATATATTCAATAACATTTTCATTGTTTGTTACTTATTTCGAAACATCATTTGATAATTGTTTTTTTTTTCCGGAAACATTTCTACAATTATGTAGAAAATTTTGGAAATTATAAAATTAAGTTTTTTGTTTCGAATTTTTGTTTTTATTTTTTTTTTAAATTATAAATAAAAGTATTATTTTATCATTTTTAATTATAAAATGCATATAAATATCAAAAATAAATATAACAAAAACAAAAAAGGGTTTTGGTAGCAACCCTTACTAATTTATATTGGATAAATATGTGTTTTGTTATATAATCTTCAATAGAGAGTTTGACTGGTTTAGAGCCTCAAAAAATATTCTTGAGCTCGGCCTACGGGTATGGAGACAGGACAAAAATAGTCGCATTTTAAAAGTTGTATTTGATCTATTGGCACAAGCATGCACCTTTGTTCCACTTTTATCTTGGCCGCCTAATTCGATTATCATGTAAAAGTACATAAATCAAAATAAATAAAAGTGTTGAAAGTAAAGAACTAATATTTTTAGATATAAAAATTTCCCTGTGACCTATATGTATAATAATCCTAACAAGTTCAAAAGTCACAACTCGTTTAAACACAGGAATGTCCATTCATATTCCTTCACAAGGATACCTACCTAAAATAACTACTAAACAGTGTATAATTCATAAGTTGGAGAAAGTTTAGTACCAAGAAGTAAAAAAGAAGAATTCTTTTTATGAGGCCACGGTGCCCATGTGATGCCTTTCTGACCAATAATGTTTTCTAGCCTCATTACTGTCTCCAAAATGCAATGTTCCACATCCCCTTTATCAAATAAATCTAGTCAGCTATTTCACATAATTAGGCTCCACATCTTTAACACACTAGTAGTGATATTACTTTATTCCTTCTAGGGACGAGGCACTGCGCAGGTTGGGGTTGGCTGACCTAACTGGTATATAGATTTTAAGCTCTTATCTCCACGGTGATATAATAGTCTATTTTGGACATAATTCTCATCAATTGGTATCTTCATACCAATTGACATAACTGTCATCGCCTATTAGCTGTGGATCATCCATTTCTCTTCTTACGATCCTAAACCTGAACAAACTTCAGTCATGAGAAATAAGACAAACCAAGCTTTGGAACCCAGAGGGACGAAACTCAACAAACAGAAATGCTAACCTTTTTTTTATATATGTAAATAAGAAAATGGCCTCGTATGGATCATGAGAAACGAGCTTCAACTTCTTTATCATTATTGTTTTTCTTGTTAAATACATTTTCTTCTAAACTTGAAGAAAGTAGAATACGTATATAGAAATATTAAGTTATTAACATAGCATAGCTTAATTTTGGTTAAGATATATATGTTTAACAAAAAGGTCAGAAATTTGAATCTCTATCCGTATTCTATTTAACATAAAGGTATAACATACATCTGGTTGAACTCAGAAAAAGTAAAAAAAAAAAGGAAAAAATTATTCATACTAAGACACCTAATATTTGAGAGAGCATTTACAGCGTATGCAGTTGGCATCAGGCTCTTTTTTGCAAGTTTTTCGACGGTGTTAGCAAAATAATAGCACAAACGAGAAAGAGACTTTAATTAAGAAAAAAAAACTATCCCATGAAAATTGATTTTTCTTTTCAAGTTCGTAGCCCTTTTTATCTCCACAGTATATGATCATATATTATTCACTTTAGACATAAATTCTCATGACTTTGGCTTTTGGTTTTTCTCAGAAGACTTCATACCAACAAAAATTATTGTCTTAACCTATGTATCATAGATATTCTCCTTTCCTAGTCAATATAGGACTTTATTTACACTTCAACAATGTTTCACATGCGCTCTACCCTTTAGCTTTTCCCATTGACTTAGAATTTAAATTGAAATGGAGTGACGTTGCCTACAATCTTGAACACACACTACTATATATAATAGCACAACCTTGGTGGCGGTTGGTAGTACGCACAAGATCGAGCTTGCTTTTCTTACACAAATGGAGTCAACAAAGTTGTTCTTCCCCCTCTTGTTCATCTCCCTCATGGCAGGTGTGTGCGATATGATTTTTGTATTGGTTTAGAATACTACTTTACATTTACATGTGTTTGTTTTCCAGGACAAGGACTAGGCGGTCATTATTCTATCCACAAGCATTTTGAGGCTACCAATAAGTTGTTTGTGTTTGGGGATTCCTACGTTGACACCAGCAATGAAATATCCAACGATAGTTTCATTAAGTATCCATATGGAATTATCTTTCTCGGCAAACCTGATGGACGTAACTCTGATGGTTATGTTCTCACAGATTACTTTGGTAAATCTAAATGATTTTTAACAATTTAACTATTTTAATAGTTGAATGTATTTTTATTAGTAGATTAATACATATAATACATCTTTGTCTACACCTGCAGCGAGTTTTCTAAACCTGGAGTCTTCGATCCCATACATGCAATTGTATGATGTAGTAAATCCAGAATTATTAGATGGTGTCAACTTTGCTTTTGGTGGAACTGGTGTGTTTGATACACAAATACACAAATTTCTGCGCCAAACTTGACCAAGCAAATCGACTTCTTACAAGAGATGATTGATAACTCTACGTTCACTCCACAAGACATTAACTCATCTTTAGCCCTTGTCTCCGTATCTGGCATTGACTATTTAACTTACCTAATACAAAATCTTAGTAATATCACTGAATTAATTCAGGTAACTCTCTTTTTAGATCGGGATGAACTCAAAAAGGAAAAAGAAAACCTCGTTTCAAATTTAAAACTCACTGTTTCAATTTGGATATATATTTACCATGGACGTTAAACTAATGGAAATTTTTATTTTTGTATTTCTAACTTCGAATGGGGTTAAATCTCAGAACTTTTAAGGAAGGTAGTAATATCCTATGGGACATGTACATGCATTTCCAACACTATTTCATTTCAGTACCGGCTACTTTTTATGGTGCTTGTGTTGGATTTTTACATATGTTTTCTATTCTTTAGTTGGGCACATTTGCCTGAGGAGAAATTTCAATTCAAAACACAAAATTCAATACGCGTACTTTACAAAAAATCACAACTTTTTATTTTCGTATCACAAATATAACATAACTTTTAACTTTTCTCTATCTTTAGAGTTTAAGATTGAATTTAATTGTGTTATTTTCCTGAAATTTCAAACTTTATGTTATATTTGAAACCTTTTTATTTTATATTATTTATTTAAAGCTAAAAATATACGTTTTAACTGCTAATACTTTAGTGTTTGTTCAATTAAGTCCTTATTTTTAACAAACGTTGAGATTAGTTAGTTAATAATGATATATAATATGAAGATACATTTTATCGATTAAAAGTATTCTATGTTTAAATTATTTAAAATATACGTACTATGAACTGAGATGGGTTGAATACCTATTAAATGCACCCTAAAGCCAGGGACAAATCCTTACTAATTTGTAGTTGGTATATATGTGTGGTTGCAGGGTTTGAAACCTTAATTTCATAAGCTCAGTGGTGGCCACTGCCGCAGAAGACTTGAAACGCATCCATAGCTTGGGAGTGAAGAAAGTAGTGGAGACAATATATAATACATCTTTGACTATACACACATACAGCGAGTTTTTTAGGCCTTGAGTCTCCAATACCATACATGCAATTGTATGACGTAGTAAATCTAGAGTTGCTAGATGGTGTCAACTTTGCTTGTAGTGGAATCGGTGTGTTTGATGCACAAATTTTTGCGCCAAACTTGACCAAGCAAATCGACTTATTACAAGAGCTTATTGATAACTCTATGTTTACTCCATGAGACATTAACTCCTCTTTAGCCCTTGTTATCTTGGTATCTGGCAATGACTATTTAACTTATCTAATACAAAATCTTGGTAATATCACATAATTAATTAAGGTAGCTCTCTTTGTAAACGTTAATGAACTCAAAAAAAAAAAAACTTAAATAACACTTTTCAAACTTAAAACTTGCTGTTTCAATTTGCATATTTGCCATGGATTTTAAACTAATGAAACTTTTTAATTTTTTTTCTATTTTTATACTCTATTATTTTTTTTTTTTTTACAAGTCTATTTTTATACTTTGGAGTTTGGACTCTTCTTCCGTTAATTATAGATTTGTGGAACAACAATCAGTAGGCATTGCCAAGACGGACGAGTTTTGATTGTGCTTTGTGTTGGATTTTTATATGTTTTCTATTCTTTAGTTGGGCGTGTTTGTTTTAGAAGAATTAATTTCACTTCAAACCACAAATTTACTTAACATGTACTTTAACGGCCGTTTATTCTTGGGGAATGTAGATGTCCGGTATTTATAGTGTCTGAAATTTCATATATCTGAAATTTTAGATGTCCGGCATCTTCAGATAACCATGTTTATTTCGTAAGAAAATTTATAAGAATATCCGGTAATATTTAGATAGCCACCTTTGTTTTGTAGGATTTATTTTTTAGAATCGGTTAAATTTGTAAAATGTTCCAAAAATGCCATTACAAATATTTATATAATTTATAAATTCATTTAATATAATAAGTTTATTTGAATTAATTTAATATTTTTATTTTTGTATATGTTATTTTGTAGAAAAACTAATTCATATTAACTTAATATAAATTTCATTTTCAACTTTAATAGTTTTTCAAAAAAACAATCATATAATTTATGCTATCTTGGGTGAAATTTATTTATCCTATCATCACATTATATTTTTTTTAAGATGAAAAATATGACAGGTATTTTGGTAGTAAAAAGAATATTACTTTAAAATTATATATTTATGGTAATAAATATTATTAATAATGTAATTCCTTCAAAATATTAAAAATAAATGGAGATATTATATAATTTAATTGTAATAAAATTTTACATGTAAATCTAATGTATAAATATAGTTAATGACATAAAGTTGTTTATTAGACGAGAACATTAATTATCTTAATTATAAATTTAAAAATAAAAACTAAAGAAATTTTTGAGAAAGAATTTAAAAAATTTGATGAAAGAACATCCATGAAGAAAAAATTAAGGGCAGAAATGTAAAAAAGTGGATGCCCTCACCACGGGAATCTTGGAAACCCTTGTTTCAAAAGAGTATCCAAAACTCGTAAGATGTCTCACATGTGGGCATCATAGGATACCCGGGCATGTCAAGATTCCCGGGTATCCTACATTCCCATAAAATGAATGTGGGAATATAGATGCCCCAAATAGGAATCTCGGATTCCAACAAAACAAACGGCCCCTACAGAAAATCATTACCTTTTATTTTCTTTTTTCTAATATAACATAAGTTTAACTTTTCTCATCTTATATGTAAATTATGCTATTTTTTTAAAACTTCAAAATTTTCTGTTATATTTGAAAATACGTTTTTGTTAAGAATCTTAAAAGATAAGAAGGCTAACCAGGCTAACAAGAGTTTATAATATATCTAACTATTATTTTCACTGTCAATTGATTTAATCTTAAAAGATAAGAAGGCTAACAAGAGTTTATAATATATCTAACTATTATTTTCACTGCCAATTGATTTTGGAATGAAACCTCGTGAATATTAATAGTTTTTATTTGATGTGATTTATATATATGTTTTAACCGCTAATATGTGAGTATTTTTTCAATTAAGTCTTTATTTTTACCAAACGTTGTAATTAGTGGACTAAGTAATGATATAATGTGAAAATACGCTTTATTCATTAAAAGTAGGGGCAACTTCAGATATGACAAAAAAAGTTAGGAAAATAAGCAAAATAGTAACAAGGTTTGAGTTTTTCAAATATACCATTTTTTTCACAAAAAAATGGAGGTCCACGTTGTAAATTACAAGTATACCCTGCAGGCCCGAACCAACAATAAATTACTTCTGATTGACTTCTGATATACTAATTATTGACAGATATACTCCTGATATATATGTGATATATGTTTGATATACATATGGTATGAAATTGATTTACTTCTGATATAACTATGATATCTACTACTATAAGTGACATAGAATTGATTGACTTCTGATATACTATTGATTTACTTATGATATAATTATGATTGACAGATATACTCCTAATATATATGTGATATATGTTTCATATACATCTGATATGAAATTGATTTACTTTTGATATAACTATGATATATACTACTATAGGTGATATAGAACTGATTGACTTCTGATATACTATTGATTTACTTATGATATAACTATGATTCACAGATATACTACTGATATATATGTGATATATGTTTGATATACATATGATATGAAATTGATTTAATTCTTATATAACTATGTGATATCTACTACTATAGATGATATAGAACTGATGAACTTCTGATATATTATTGATTTACAGATATAACTATGATTGATAGATATACTCTTGATATATATGTGATATAGGTTTGATATACATATGATATGAAATTGATTTACTCCTAATATAACTATCATATCTACCAATTATTTCGAACATATTACCTTTAATATATGTTTTCTAATATACTACTAATATATGAAATAATTTTTTTTTCAGATAAAAGCAATGGTACAAACACGAAAAATGAAATAAAAATGCATCGTCGAAAATGTTGATATCGTTCGTCCCAAAAGACAACACAAACCAACGCTAGAAGTGTTGTCTATGGAAAAATGGAAAGCTTCAAAGATGTTATCTCCGAAGACACGACAATCACCAAGAACGAAGATTGATGTCCAAAGCTTTTACCAAAAGATTATACAAGAATGAAACTTACACTTTTCTAAACTGTTGGAACTTATGCTTCTTCATTTATAGAATTTTAAGAATGACATTGTTAGTCTACTTTTGGTTTATGCTACTGGTTCGTTTTGATGTTTAAACCTTTAAGTTTTTAGTTGAAGAACTTTGCTGCTGATTTGCTGTTAATGTTGATTCCCAAGAATGATGTTTAAACCTTTTAAGAATGACATTGTTGTTGATTTCTCATGCATGTCAATACTTACTGATTTCTAATTGATCAAAAAAAATACAAGACAAAAGGTTAAAGCAGGTAGAATAATGATTTACTATTATACAACTAATATAGAACTGATTGACTTCTGATATACTATTGATTTACTTCTGATATTGTCAAATATACTCCTGATATATGTTTGATATATAATAACGAAGTGATAACTGAAAAGGGTAATTTGGAAATATTGAAAATTTTAAAATCACGATTTTCAAAAAAATGCTATGTCTGAAAATATCAAAAATGCATGCTATTTTGTTAAATATAGAAAACTTATATGCTACCCATTACAAATCCCCTTAAAAGTATTCGATGTTTTAATTTTATGAAATAGACATGTTGCTTGTCCATAAAATATAAAATTTAAAACGCACTCATTTCAGAGAGGTATTCCACAAGGGGATCCACTCTCCTCTTTTCTTAGCCGTCTTTGGGAGGAAGCTCATGGGAAAGGGCTCATTGAAGGTTTTCTTGTTAATCACAAGAGCCTTCATATTTCCCTTCTTCTTTTTGCCGATGATATTCTACTATTCTCTTGTGCAGGCGAGATCAAGCTTGGGAATCTATTCATGTTGTTGAAATCTTTTGAATTGGCTTCGGGGCTTAATATTAACATTAAAAAATCCTCCTACTCCGGTGTTAATATCCCTGCTGAAGACCTCAACAGATTCTTGAAAATTTGGGGATGTCCTATAAGTCCGCTGCCTATCTCCTACCTGGGAATGTCTCTGGGGGGAAATCCAGAGGCTGCTTCGTTTTGGGACCCAATTATTGAGAGAGTTAATCGAAAATTCTGAGAGCTGTAAATATTGCTACATACCAAAAGTGGAAATATTATTTGTCGGTATTCGAAGCCCCTATCAGAGTCACAAAAGATGTTGAGAAACTAATGAGAAATTTTCTATGGGAAGGAATCGGTGACACCAAAAGCCCCCATCTCGTTCGATGGAATATTGTCATCCTTCCAAAGTCCCAAGGAGGATTAGGCATTGATAGTATTGTCAACGCTAATTTGATTATAAAATGGTTGCGGCGATTCTTCACACAACAAAACAGTCTCTGGGTCAGCCTGATTAAAGCTAAACACGACACTTACCTTCCTGAGATTTTTCCCTCTACTTGAAAATTCAGTAGCTCAAGAGCTCCTTGGTTCCACGTTATCAAATTAAAGGTCCTATTCCACAACTTGACAAAATGGAAAGTGGGAAATGGAGAGCATTTACTTTTCTGGTTCCATAATTGGACGGATTTTGGGCCTCTACATTTATCACAACTAAGATTATTTGTCCTTTCTGCTAAGAAGACCCTCTTAGTTGCTGAAGCTTGGAATTCTCACGGCTGGAATTTTTATCCTCGTCGACCATTGCTTGATAGGGAATCATCTTTTTGGTCAAGCATTTCTGCATCATTTCAGCAGCCTAGTTCTGATAAAGGTTCCGATCAGATCTCTTGGTTTCAAATAGCTAATGGCACTTTTTCAGTTAAGGCAATGAAATCCCTTTTATCCGATAAGCATCCATCTGAATCTAAAAAATGGATCAAAACTAGGCTAGAATTTCTTGAAGCCGTACAATCTGTTTATGACAAACGAGATGACAAAAGAGAGTGTTCTATTATTCACTAGCTTTGACAATGAAAATAAAGAGAAAAATATATTTACAAAATTGCTACTGCTTCAAGGAGAAAACCTATGTAAATATACAGTATGGTAGTATACATTCTTGAGCTAAGTAAGGTAAACTTGCAACGGTAAAGAAGAGTAAATATAATACAGCAGAATTGTGAT